AAAATATAAAAGTCCATTTTCTGGCTAAACTAGAAGAGCTACAGCCTAAAGGATGAAAATCTGTGATCATCTTGATTTCCTACCGAAACTCGATTTTTGAGTGAAAATATAAAAGTCCATTTTCTGGCTAAACTAGAAGAGCTACAGCCTAAAGGATGAAAATCTGTGATCACTTTGATTTCTTACCAAAAGTCGATTTTTCAGTGAAAAACATAAAAGTCAATTTTCTGGCTAAACTAGAAGAGCTACAGAAAAAATGAAAATCTGTGATCACCTTGATTTCTTACCAAAAGTCAATTTTTGAGTGAAAAACATAAAAGTCCATTTTTTTCGCTAAACTAGAAGAGCTACAGAAAAAATGAAAATCTGTGATCACCTTGATTTCTTACCAAAAGTCAATTTTTGAGTGAAAAACATAAAAGTCCATTTTCTGGCTAAACTAGAAGAGCTACAGCCAAAAGGATGAACCTTGATCACCTTGATTTCCTATTAAAACTAGATTTTTGAGTGAAAAAATAGAAGTCCATTTTCTGGCTAAACTAGAAGAGCTACAGCCTAAAGGATGAAAATCTGTGATCACCTTGATTTCCTACCAAAAGTCGATTTTTGAGTGAAAACATAAAAGTCCACTTTCTGGCCAAACTGGAAGAGCTACAGCCAAGAGGATGAAAATCTGTGATCATCTAGATTTTCTACCAAAACTCGATTTTTTAGTGAAAACATAAAAGTCTATTTTCTGGCTAAAGTAGAAGAGCTACAGCCAAAAGGATGAAAATCTGTGATCACCTGGGTAAACTAGAAGAGCGACAGCCAAAGGGATGAAAATCTATGATCACCTTGAATTTCTACCAAAACTCGAGTTTTGAGTGAAAACATAAAAGTCCATTTTCTGGCTAAACTAGAAGAGCTACAGCCAAAAGGATGAAAATCTGTGATCGCCTTAATTTTCTACCAAAACTCGATTTTTGTCCATTTTCCATTTCTGAGTGAAAAAATAAAAGTCTTTTTTCTAGCTTAACTAGAGGTGCTTCAGCAAAAATAATGATAATTTGTGATCAGTATGATTCCTCCATGAGGTGCAGTATTCAGATGTTCATTAAACAAGTCAGATGTGATGGCCGCCTTTAAAACAAATGTTCTGTGGAGTAAATAAAGAATTAGCATTCCTTCAAATATTTTTCCTACTTGAAGAAATATTTGACATTATCGTATGACTTAATATCAGCCACACTGTTCTATTACGATATTGTATAACATCCTTGACACCTTTACAAATCACAAAACTCAACAAATGAATAAAAGAAGCAACGAAGAAAGAACAAAAAAAAAAGAAAGAAAGTCAAATACGCACAAAGGTAGCGCATCCCAACCAAGTGTGTGTGCGTTTATTGTTGGCTTCTTCATCACATCACATGCTGTTTGTTACATTTGCTTTCTTTACCACAAATTGGCATTGTTTCAATATTATTTATGGTTACATTTCGATCAGATCATGATGAAGATGATGATGGCAATCCTTTGTTTGTTTGTTGTGGATTTCTTAAATTTATAAATTTACTCTCCCTTGAAGAGTGGCAGCTATTTTATACTTTAAAAGTAGACTCATAGACGCCTTTTTAGCAAAATAGTATATACATATATACAGAGAAGAAACGTATTTGGTATGAAGCATATTAAATTGATTTGATTATGGATTTATCTAATTGAGAGAAATGTAATCATTAGAGCTTGAAAATTACAAGGTGGAACAAATGCATTTTTAGGGTTAATTTAATAAAAACACAGTTGAATTAAGTTGTAATTGAGGATCAAGAAAGTAGGTAGCTGATAAAGAAAGGGGAGCAATTTGCTTTCTGGTATTATAGGGGAAAGAGTTAATATATGTACATATTTTTGATTGGTTTTTAAAGAGTTGGGGTGTTAAAGATTTAAGAACGGATTTATGAAAGTTAAAATTGCAAGCTTTAATTATTGGCAAGGAGACTGGTATATAATAACTCTTATAGCTCGTTGGCTGCTTGCTTTAACTACGGTGACCAAAATACCTCTGACATGATAGGAAAAGCTTCCAAAACGAAAACACATTTCGAGATCGGAATTAAGCAAAAGTTCTACTTAATTAATCACGTATCCGGTAAGTCCTAACTAACTAACTAACTAACTAACGAACGAACGAACGAACGAACGAACGAACGAACGAACGAACGAACGAACGAACGAACGAACGAACGAACGAACGAACGAACGACGAACGAACGAACGAACGAACGAACGAAAACGAACGAACGAACGAACGAACGAAACGAACGAACGAACGAACGAACGAACGAACTAACTAACTAACTAACTAACTAACTAACTAACTAACTAACTAACTAACTAACTAACTAACTAACTAACTAACTAACTAACTAACTACTAACTAACTAACTAACTAACTAACTACTACTAACTAACTACTACTAACTAACTACTAACTAACTAACTAACTAACTAACTACTAACTAACTAACTAACTAACTAACTAACTAACTAACTACTAACTCCTAACTAACTACTAACTAACTACTAACTAACTAACTAACTAACTAACTAACTAACTAACTAACTACTAACTAACTACTACTAACTACTAACTAACTAACTAACTAACTAACTACTAACTAACTACTAACTAACTAACTAACTAACTAACTCTAACTACTAACTAACTAACTACTAACTAACACTAACTAACTAACTAACTACTAACTAACTAACTAACTAACTAACTAACTAACTACTAACTAACTACTACTAACTAACTAACTAACTAAATACTAACTAACTAACACTAACTAACTAACTAACTAACTACTAACTAACTAACTAACTAACTAACTAACTAACTAACTAACTAACTAACTAACTACTACTAACTAACTAACTAACTAACTAACTAACTACTAACTAACTAACTAACTAACTAACTAACTAACTAACTACCTAACTAACTAACTAACTAACTAACTAACTAACTAACTAACTAACTAACTAACTAACTAACTAACTACTAACTAACTAACTACTAACTAACTAACTACTAACTAACTACCTAACTACTACTAACTAACTAACTAACTAACTAACTAACTAACTAACTAACTAACTAACTAACTACTAACTAACTAACTAACTAACTAACTACTACTACTAACTAACTAACTAACTAACTAACTAACTAACTAACTAACTACCTACTAACTAACTAACTAACTAACTAACTACTAACTAACTAACTAACTAACTAACTAACTACTACTAACTAACTCACTAACTAACTAACTAACTAAACTAACTAAACTAACTAACTAACTAACTAACTAACTAACTAACTAACTAACTACTAACTACTAACTAACTAACTAACTAACTAACTAACTAACTAACTAACTAACTAACTAACTACTAACTAACTACGAACTAACTAACTAACTAACTAACTAACTAACGAACTATAACTACTAACTAACTAACTACCTAACTACTAACTAACTACTAACTAACTACAACTATACTAACCTAACTAACTAACTAACTAACTAACTACTAACTAACGAACTAACTAACTAACTAACTGACTAACTAACTAACTAACTAACTAACTGACTGACTAACTAACTAACTAACTACTATGTCGTTTCCAATAAATACATTTTTTCATATGTGATTTCTCACAGACATCTTCATGTTACTATCAAACAAACCTCACCTTTCAGCTAAAATAACATTTGCTTAGCAAATACACAAACCATATGGTTTTTACCTCTCTGAGGTATGGTGAGAACAATAATACAACACTGTTAACTAAGACTGTTAAGTTTTTTTAATGAAACATAGATGGCGTAATATAACATAATGTTATAAAAACATAAATGTTATATGTTATAAAAACATAAAATTGTAAGCAGAGCATAGCATACAGATGTCTTTGAGTTTCCAGAATGTCAAATCACATATGAAAAAAATGTGACATTTATTGAAACCACATAGAAATATTTTCACAAATTGTCACTCGCTGTCACCTCATCTTTCAAGTTGCTATGAGAGTTACTGCGAATAAGCTGATTTGGCTGTGCACCTCACACAAACACGTGTATTTCTTATGGGACCTAGGCTGCTGCGTATCCTCCTAGGGCCACTTTAATTTGAGACAGCACAAAAATGATATTGTTGTACACAGCTAGGCGAAATTCCTGTGCACAGCATCCTGCTCTCTTCTGTCTTTTTGAGAGTATTTATTATTTTTTTAAGTAAATAAAAATATTTTTATTGATATACATATGTACCATAAAAAATATTGAATAAGCTGTTTACTCAATAATATTGTATAAGTTCGAGATTACTAACACGTTTTATTATTAAAAGCTTATTGAAGATTTATATTGAACATAACAAAATTGTATATGTATGTGAGGATCGTTTTTAAGAAGATTTAATCATGCTTATTCTTAATAAAATTTTTTAAATCACAATAAATTTGATGAGATAACTATTCTATAGAATTTACTGCCTGATTCACAATATCGAAACAACCAGACATATTCTGGATAATAAACTTCCTCTGGGAGTTTGTTCCCTTTCCTATACCTAAAGCATACAAAAGGGAACAAACTCCCCCAGGATATAATCTGTACCCAAATAAAACTTGAAATTCCCAATTTGGGGACAAATCCCCACATCTGGCGACACTGATTCTGAAATACACCCTTAAAACACACACACAAGCTAATAATGAATGAAATGACAAAGATGCCACTCTTTCAAAAACCTTGACATTCTGTTATTTACCGTTATGCTCTCGGTAGCTTAAGACATAGTAACGGTTTCGTATCAGTAGTGAGTTTGTATATGTATATTATTATCAGTTTGTGGTTGCTGTTATTCTGTTAAACTTTAAAAGGTTTCGGTTTATTTTTTTTTTTTTTTGCTTAACGTTCCGTTGCCTCGTTCGTGTTTTAATATTAACAGTTTGCTCTGAGAGTCGCAAGTGTACGTAACGCCTCTTTAAATAGAACGGAATAATTTTTTTTAAAACTTTAGTAGGAAAAAAGTAGTAGAAAAAAATCCTTTAAATAAAACTAAAATTTAAGAAAATAAGAACGTTACAGACTTGTCGACGACAAAGACGAGTAAAGAAAAAAAAAAGAAAAATACATAATTACACGACTAATGCGTAAGAGCTGGTCTTCCGAAATTTTGCAATTGAAAATTTAATTTTAAAAAGGATTTTATAATTAGAGAAAAAAAAAGAAATAAAAAAAAAATTAAACCAACAAAAACAAAAGCATGGCTTACGAAACGGTGTCATAAGAATTACAAATATTTGCTGTTTTTTGAAAAAAAAAATGAAATAAAGCAGAAAATTAAAAAAGAAAAAATAAGAAAGTGTAAATTTAAAGGGAAAAAGTGAAAAAGAAAAGAAAATGAAGGAAAAAGTGTAAAGTTTAAATTAAGTATGAATAAAAATAATTAAAAAAAAGTGTAAATGTTGCAAGGAAATCAAATTAATTTTTTTTTAAATTGTAATATGACAATGTTCTATGATTTCTAATAATAACAACTATATACAGCTATAATAGCAGCAACAACAACAACAATTATACCTACGCAACGTAACTTATTACACTCGTAATATATACGTATATATTTTCGTCTGTATCTATTTTCCAAAAAAAAAAAAGTTTCTCACAAAAAAACGAAAAAAGGCAACAACCCACTGCACTCACTAGCAGGGAAATTACCACCCACAGTAATAAGCAACGGGATTACGTGTGAAAAATTATTTTAGATTTGTTAAGAACGAAGAAAAACACACAAAAAATCAAATCAAATAAAAAAACAAAAACTACTACTGTGCGACAGTGGTGAATACAAGTTAAGCCTCCCCAAAGGATACAGGCAACAAACACTCACTGCTACTGTAACAAGAAAAACAACTATTACAACTACAATAACCTACTGCTGCTACTCATCATCATTCTTCACTCACTACTGCTACTCATCACTCTTTAAATAACCAAACGGACAAAATGGTAAATGTCATTTGCAACTGTAGTTATTCTTAATTTAAACAATTTCTCTTCTTATTTATAAGAAGAGATCTGCTACATTTTCATTTTTTTTTCTTCTAAAAGCCTTAAGGATATTAATTACATTTCAACACAATTCAATTGTAGTTATATTTCCTTTAGAAACTTTTCTTTCCCCCCAATTTCCTTTTTGCCTTCATATACAATATTTTTTTCTTTCTGCTACTTTTTGCCTTTTTTTCTCTAGTTTGCTTTACTTCTTCTTCTTCTTCTTGAACTAGCGACCTAGAATAAATATATTTTCATTATTATTATGTTTTTTTTTATATTCATTTTTCTATTCACATTTTCCAATGCTCTTAAGGGGCCAAGCGTCGTCGTCTACCTTTTTTTTGCATTTGTTTTATTAACAACAACAGCAACAATATTATTACAACATTATTCAAACCTTAGCCCAAGAACAAAACAAATAATAATAATAAATAAAAACATTTAAAACGACAATTGCATTTCCTCAATAAAAGCTAAAACAACCAAGACAAAAAAAGTACACAAATCAGGAAAAAAACGTAAAGAAAAGCAAAAAAAAGCCTAGTATAAATAAGGCAATTGTTGGGAAATTAAAAGCAACAAAACAAAAGGATTTTAATGACTGCGGTCTAATGGCACAATAGCAACAACTACAGCAACAACAGCCATCCAACACTAGAAATGTTGAATTTTTCACTTACAGGAAAAACATGCCTATTCAAATACTCTTCTCATACACATACACCCGTAAACAACACTAACACTTACAAAATTTTCTTACGTACATTTTTTTTTACTTTTTCTGTTTCCGGCAATGCTGCCAGTAGTTAGTTACCTTAACTAGGGATTTGTTGGCAACATGGGAATTTTACAAAAGTTCCACAGGGAAATATTAGGAAAACAAATGAAATTTTTTAGTTAATATTTGTCATAAATATTGGTATTATTTGGTAACATTTTCAGTTAAACTTTAACTGTTTACTTTTTCTTATTTTACCAGTTATTAAGCAGTGTTGCCATACATATATAAACATCAGTTTTGTTTATAAACTTTTCCAATTAGAATTCCTTAAAAATCTAACTATATTTTTAATTCATTCCTTTAAATTGTTTTAAACTAGATCCCTATTTAGTTTTTTTTTTTTTTAATGCAAATGTTGTTTCAAATCTTTCTTACAGTGTTACCACCTACAAACACTTCAGTGTTGTATTTTATTTTAAATTTAGTTTTAGAAATGTTGTAAATTTTATTTGATTATTTTATTGATTATTTTTAAGTTATTTGAACTTTAAACTATGTATTCAATTTTAAATTCGGCTAATAATTATAACAGCGTTGCCATATATAAAAACTTTTATTAAGGATACAATGTGCAATTTCTAAATTATCTGTTAATTAACTTTCGATATTCTGTACCCATTGCAACAGCATTTTAGAATTAGATAAAAAGTTTATCTTTCGGATATTCACATCAGATAAATTCAAGAAATTGCTTTATAGCATGTTGAACCTATGTCCCGACATTGGCAGATGAAGTGTATAAAGTCTTCTTCTTCCTCTTGACATTGACAGCTTCCGCAGAAGTCGGTAGTAGATTCAATACTCAGCAGTTCGACACAAAGTCTATGCATCCGAAAAACACAATGATTTCCACTAATGTCAAACCACCTGGTTCACTCTAATTCGTATTGTTTCACGAATATACTCTTTGCAAACGAGGGTGAAGATAATCGTCACTTTAGTGTTCCCTTTGTAAGCGAGATGGTGGACACTTAAAAAAAAAAACTTAAGCTTTTTGTCTGTCTCTTCTAATCTATTAACTTCCTCGTAGGACGAGCACATGTTAAAATAGCTAGTCACATGGGCAGTCGGTGGGTTGGGGTAATCCTAAGTGGTAGGTTAAATAGGTAATTCGGGACTGTCCGACCAAACTGCTGGGTATTTTAGCATTAAGCTCAAAAGGCAAGTCATCGCTACAATTGTATTCAATAGCTGTACTCTCGGAATATATAGCAAGACTTCTAATCTTTGTCGATTATATGACGGTCACATAATCTTCGCCATTACGAAACGTGCGTTTACAACTGTTCATCGTTCACTATTGCCTGCGAAGTGGCAATTTTCGCTAAAGAGTTCAGGAATCTGTTGATGACTACAAATCTGTGGAATGTTTTGCCATCTGTTTTGCTTTCAAGGTCTAAGTTTGATGTTGTATTACCATTGAAAGTCCTCAGCGCGGCTTGACTCTTACTGTATATTCGAATATCAACCTAGAACCTTGGCTAACTTGCAGCCCGTTTAATGGCTGAAGACTATATATACTAAGTAGTCAGAACGTTTGAAGGAAACTTCTGGTTCTACACCATTCTTTGTTTTCAAGGAGGAGTAAGAAGCTCTTGATGTTCTGGGCATGAGAATACAGTGTTATGTTCGCTGAACCAAACACATATTTCAAGTGTCGAAAGAAGCATTCAAGTGTCTCGGTTTTCTCAAAAGGTGTAAGACATACTTCACTCCCTATGACCTCCTTACTATCTATACCACCTACATCCGACCTAAAATGGAATACAACTCTCATGTATGGGCCGGCGCTTCAAAGTCTATTTTGGGGCTATTCGACCGCGTATAGGAGAGGGCGAAGGTACTTATCTGTGACAATAGGATATCCAACTCTATTGATTCACTGGAGCATCGTCGCAATGTGGGGTGCGTTAAACTGTTCTATCGATACTACAATCAAATGTGTTCTTATGAAATTAGAGAACTTGTTCCCGAAACCCGCATATTCACACGTAACACACGACATTCAACAAGAGCATACCCATTTGTGGTCGATTGACCAGTGGGTCGCACAATGCACTACGAAGAGAATTCGTTCTTAAGTTGTACTGTCCGTATGTGGAACACTATCCTGTCACTTGCAATGGGTAGGATTAAATCGAAAATGTCCACAGACACTACTCCCTCTATCCTCCCTCCCATGACCTATTTCCCTAGTTCCAACACAATGCACTGCATGAGTAGGGGTCATCCCCTGAGTGCTGGTCCTAACAAAAAAATAAAAAAGACAAGATTTGTATCACATTGGAATGTTTTATTTAGTAGCCTTAATTTCCCTATAAAACTTTATAAGGATCCTTTCATTATTGTTCAAAGACCTCTTATCATCGATAAATCACATACATTATAAATAAATTCCATATACTATAAGATGATTTGTTTTATTTTAAAAAATACTTCTGGTATAGGAACCGTTTGGAGTAGAGATTAATATGCTAGGGCAAGATCAGCAACACTTTAATATTTGTTTTGTTACTAATATTCGTAAAGCCTCTTACTCCTAATTCTACTCTGTAAATTTATATACCCAGTTATATGAAAAGTTGCAATCTTGAAAGTCACACCATATTTTCGGTTAAAAAAAAAAAACTGAAACCACAAAATTATGCATAAAAAAGCTATGAACTGCAGATTGTTTTTATCTCAAAATTTCGAAATGCGATGCAATTTTTAGTACAAGAATTAGCATTTGAAATATGTCAACAATTTAATAAAAATAATTTGCAAATTCCTTTAAAATTTTAATAAACAATATATTTTTTTTTGCAATTTATGAGCATTGCAAAAAAACTAATCAGCACACCACGTGCAAATGTACTAAAAATATACATCCACATTGTTTATGTCTGAACAGCACTTAACATTAAAATAATTGCGGTAAACATCAACTATTTGCATGCTAAGCTTTTTTTATTAATAAAAAATAACACAATAATCAATTATTAACACAAATACTAAAAAATGTAATAGAAATTAAAGATAGTTCATTGTTTTAATCAATTTATAACATTACATTTCAAAACTATTGTCAGATAACAATAACAACAAAATACAAAACGTTTTTAATTGTAACAAATTGAAATTGAATTTTTATACTTTGTATATAATTTTAAAAACTTCTGTGGTTTTAACATAATTATGTAATCGCTTGAATAAGTTCCTTGTAATAGATATCGTGTAATATATTTTAGAGATGGATTTCCATATTGTTGAAATAATACATAATATGCGAAATTTATTATAAAACTTTATTATAAAAATGTATTTTTACACTTCGAGACTGTCGTCTACAAATCTATTTAACTTTTTTTGGAGGCTACCCAAATTATCATAACATCTTGTTTTAAATCAATATTTTTGCTGCTCTTCTGGCATGGCTCTTCTTTCATATTTAGGTTAACATTTTTAAATAATGAAATGGTCAACCATTTCTCATGTTTCATCTTAAAATACAATACAATCTTTTATGACTTAAATCAATATTTCATAAAGTTTTTTTTATAACGCATTTTCTGCTTAATCGTCTGTTTTTTAAACTTTAATAAGGTCAGGGAGAAAATTCTTAAAAATTTGTTGCCAAATAAAAAAGATGCTATTAAAAGTTGTGTATTCTAGTAAAATAAAAATAACCTAAAAAAGTAATTGGAAAAAATCCCAATTATAATTTTTTTACAAAAGGATATACTCATCCCCCGGAAAAAATAATTAAGAATTACTAGGAAAGCTATAAAGTTTTGAATTTTTGTAAAATAAGGGATTTTTTTCTAGGAATTAAGATAACTGTGAAGTTTTCATATAAATCTGGGATAATAAATTCAATACCACACTACTTCTATCAGTACTTTTTAAGATCGAAAAATACGCCCAACATTATCGGTAAATTTTTAACTTATAAACTTTTGCTAAGTAGTCCATAAACTTGTCAATAAATTAGTCTAGTCTATAGTCTAGTCTATAGTCTAGTCTATAGTCTAGTCTATAGTCTAGTCTATAGTCTAGTCTATAGTCTAGTTTATAGTCTAGTCTATAGTCTAGTCTATAGTCTAGTCTATAGTCTAGTCTATAGTCTAGTCTATAGTCTAGTCTATAGTCTAGTCTATAGTCTAGTCTATAGTCTAGTCTATAGTCTAGT